TCATCTTAAAATGGGATAAAAATGTGTTTTTATAAATTCGGTGTGAGAAATAATTAAAATTACACTTAACTCTTGATAAATATGGGTACTTGGTCACGGAAGTTCTTTCTCAACTAAAACTTAGTGTTTACAAACATATTGTTATTCAGAAGACATAGACTACCTATTATGAATCAGACAGTGTTAGGGACTGGGGATATAATGATTAAAAAGGCAGGTACTTCCTCTCCTCAAAAGACCTTACCATCCAATCCAATTATTCAAAAAATAAGTGAATTAAAATACACCCAATCCAATCAATCTAAATTATCTGGAAGAAACCATCCTACGTAAAGGTTAAGAAGTGCAAGGGATGGGAATCAGCAGTTAGCGTAATGGCTATGTCACTGGACTCCCACGTAGTTGACGGCGGTTCACGTTCTGGACGGTGGCTTAAAACTCACGCTGGGCACGTGTGCGTGAGTGCCCAAGATCCCGAGAGGAGAATGGAGGAGAGGGGATTGTGGCGTGGCCATCCCACCTGGGGGGTGATTTCTCGCTTTCTGTCTCTATGTCTCTCTCTGTCTGGCGAGAGCTCGCACGGGAAGGCTCCCCCCCCCCAGAGAAAACCACACAAAAAAAAAAAAAAAAAAAAAAAAAAGAAGTGCAGAGGAGAATACAAAAGTAAATATGCATGTGCTTTCTATATAAAATAGGAGATCCTTATAACTGGACATGAGATGTGCCTGCTACTCTGAAATTTAGTTTCCCTGCCAGTGACTTCAAAAAGCCATTAACACAATTTTCAAGTTCAGAAGACAATTTCTCAGGGATCTTAGCATTTAGTGATCTAGTTATATGTATCCTAAATTCAACAACTAGACTGTTGCCATCTTTATTAAAAGAGCTTCTACCACAACTCTACAAGCAGTGGACTTTCAAAATTTGTCAGTTTACTCATTTCCTTACCTACATTCCCCACCCCACTACAATCTATATAATGTGGACTTTCTTTCCTAAATATGTCTTCATATTCTATCAGGTAACTTCATTCTCTAGCAAGACTATCTTTACTCCCCTTAATTTCACTGTTTAATAATCTACTATAGTAATTCTATTTCTGAAGCACAAATGATTTGTTTTCATTTTGATTACATTCCTGTCATTTTTAAAATCCGATATCTATATAGATATATAGATATATAGATTTTTTTTTTTTTTTTGGAGAGGGTTTTGCTATAGGTCATGTGTGCTCGCCAGACAGACAGAGAGAGATAGACAGACAGAAAATGAGAAATCAACTCCCGCAGGAGGGATGGCCACACCACAATCCCGTCTCCTCCATTCTCCTCTCGAGATCTTGTGCACGCATGCACACGCACCTGGCACGAGTTTTAAGCCACCAGGTCCAGGACTAGGTGTTAGAATAACAAAATATGTCCTCCCATGACCAAATGCAACCAGAAATGAAAGTTTAGCTAAAGATTAAAAGTCATAAAGTTTTGGGACCAGCAGTTAGTGTAATGGCTATGCTGCTGGACTCCCATGTAGTCGACCGCTGTTCAAGTCCCAAACCTGGTGGCTTAAACTCACGCTGGACGCATGTGCGTGCGTGCCCAAGATCCCGGAGAGGAGAATGGAGAAGGGATTGCGGCGTGGCCATTCCCCCTGGGGGGTGATTTCTCGCTTTCTGTCTGTCTCTCTGTCTCTCTCTGTCTGGTGAGCGCACGCGCCCTATAGCAAAAAAATCCTCTCAAAAAAAAAAAAAGCCATAAAGTTTTAATATAATAAAAAGGTTGCTTTTTTTCTTTTCAAGCAACTAATGTCACATCATTGATTATAAGCAAACATTTAATTTTTTATACATAAGCTTTATTTTAAAAAGCAAGTATTTTTCTTATTTCTATTTATGACTACAGTTATAATAAGTAATTTCCAGAAAGACTGAATTTGGGACAAGGGTGAAAATATGTTAATTAGGATTACTAAATGAAAGCCAAAGTAAGGATTTTCCCAAATCGTTTTTAATCAGTAAAACCTCAGGGCTGAGTTCTTTTTTTTTTTTTTTTTGGAGAGGTTTTTGCTATAGGGCGCATGCGCTGGCCAGACAGAGACACATAGAGACAGAAAGCGAGAAATCACCCCCCGGGGGGATGGTCACGTCGCAATCCCTTCTCCTCCATTCTCCTCTGGGGATCTTGGGCACGCACGCACAAGCGCCTGGCGTGAGTTCTAACCACCGGGTCTGGGATGCGAACCGCGGTTGACTACATGGGAGTCCAGCGACATAGCCATTACCCTAACTGCTGGTTCCCAGGGCTGAGTTCTTAAAAACTGATCCATTAATTTGCACCATCTCAAATCAAGAAATCTCCTCCATGACTGATAGATTTATCCCTGGTCACAATTTAAGACTGAAAACCACAAAGTACTTCTATAACTAAAATGGGCAAATATCCTTATTTGATTTGCATTACTTTTATCACGATCGCTTTTTTTTTTTTAAACTCCTGTAGGGCACGCAGGATAGGCATGATCCCTGTTTTAAGGGCGGGGCACTAAAATCAAAACTTTGTCCAAGAACGTAGGACTATTTAACCTTGGATCCCGAGTAAGGATCCAGGAGTTCATTTTTCTAGTCCTCCAGCTCCCTTCGCACTTCAAAGTTGGCTCTGTTATTCCTCCGACTTTAAATTCCTTGAGGTCACGGAGCCGAAACGCAGCTCAATCCTGTGTTCTCACGGGATCCTGCAGACCAGGGGCCTTACTTCCAAACTGCGAGGCATGGGGGCGGCGCACCGTGACGCACGAACCCTCAAGGCCAGATAATACACTCTTTGGGCTGTTTACCGAGACCGTCTTGGAGCCCGGGACAGGTTATCAAAGCCCAGCGACTATAAAACGCGGCCGGTCCCAGCGGCCGACTGGGAGACCTCTGGGTCTCCCGCGCGGTTCGGCTTCCCCTCGCACCGCCCTCGCGCCATTCCCGAAGCCCCTCCGCGCCGCTCGCCACGTGGGGCGGAGCCTCCCCCGAGCGGCGCGCGCACCCGGGAGCTCGTGTCGCGTGACTCAGCCGGGGCGCGCGAGGTTAGCGTCCGCCGCGCCACTTCCGACGCAGCCCTCGGTTCAGGTTCCGGGGCGCCGCGCGGCTCCCGGCCTGTGGGTC